ACCTTGACAAGAATCTGATTCAAATTATTTCTGTCATAATCCTAAGAATTTCAGTAAAAAAACATATTTCTTCATATTGTCTGCACTGAATTGAATCATGGGATATGTAGTTCCCGATGTTTATTGACTATTGCTACTGTAAAACAATGCATTTAAACAACAAAGAGACTTGTAATTTGATATATTGTGACAGCCCATGATATTATTGTGAGACTTTTGACGATATGATATCACGATATTTCGGTTATTGTTACATTCCTAGTAAATAGTCATGTAACAATAATCGTGATATCGCATCAAAGTTCTCACAATAATACCGTGGGCCATCACAATATATCGAATCATACGTCTCTTTGCTTAAATGAAGAGTTATGGTGCAGCAATAGTTTAAAAAAGACAGAGGGAACTACATAGACCATGATCCTTTGCTCCATTTCAGTGCAGACTACATGAAGAAATAACAGTTCTAAACACTTTAAAGTCTTCATTCTTTGGATTAAGTCTTGTCAAGGCATTTTAAGAGGAAAAAGTAGCGGATTAACCTTCACAAAATATCACAATAAATCGTTCCGTGAGATGTATATCGTGAAAATATCGTACCGAGAGATTTGGATATTGTTACATCTCTAATCGTGAGCCTCCCCATCATATCGTGAGCTTTCCCAGGATATCGCAATAAATATCATACCGTGAGGTTCATACTGTGACGATATCATATTGTGAGATTTGGATATCGTTACACCCCAAGTAGATAGTGATGTAACAATAACTGAAATCGTATCATCAAAAGTCTCACAATAAATACCGTGGGCTGTCACAATATATTGAATTACAAGTCTCTTTGCTTAAATTCATTGTTACGGTGCAGCAACAAAAAAGAGAGAACTGCACAGACCATGATCCTTTGCTCTGTTTCAACGCAGACAACATGAAGAACTATTAAGAATCACTTTAAATGTTAACTCTCTAAGACTTGTCATGGCATTTGAAAAGGAAAAGCGACATACATAGTTACATCTCTATAGACTATATGTTGCGTGGAGTTTCCAAACCTCCCCGAGACTCGTGATTAAAGCTGTGTGTTGTGACAGAGTCCTCCTGGTCTATTAGCAGAAGTGAGACTGACAATCAGACAGGCTTTAATTATAATGTCACCAGGAAAGTGGAATGAAAATATATAATTATGTCAGGATCGTGAAAATCAATACAACAAACAGCGACACCTGAGTACGTATGGAGCTGTTCGCTTGAGCTGCTCTTGTGAGGTTCTGCTCCATGATTGCACAACATGATGCAATAAGAAGTATAACAAAGAGCTTTTCGACTCCAGTGGAATGCACTCGAGTGGAGATCTCCCCGCGGACGACTTTGGGGAAATAACAGTGAATTCTGGTAATGAAGCTATTACATTACAACAGCTTTGACTTTTAGTTCTAGAATCAATCCTGTCTAGGGTTATCTAAAGTATTAAAATCAGATAATCGATATAAAAACTAATATTAGGGGTGTAAGAAAAAATCGATTCAGTAATATATATCGTGATACATCATTGCACAATTCTCTGGTACTTAAGCTATTACTACAACATTTTGACTTTTAGTTCTAGAACAGGGGTGTCCAAACTTTTTTCATCAAGGGCCACATATCTAAACAGAGGCGAAGCAGAGGGCTGTTCAAGGCCATAGACTGGTGCTCAGTACAGTGAATAATTGAAATATGTGTACTTTTTATCTTCATTGTTGTATTGTAACCAGTGGGGATGGGACAAGATCTCATACCACAAGATCTCACAAGACAAAACTGCCATGATCGTGCACTAGGGATGTAACAATATCCAAATCTGTCGATACGATATTTTCACGATATACATCTCACGGTATGATATAAACTGTGTATGCTGCTTTTCTCTCGTTATTATCCAAATGATTATGATTTAAACTTGCTTAATAACACTTATTTCATCATGTATATCGGACTGAGACAGAGCAAAGGATCATGGTCTATGTAGTTCTCTCAGTTTTTTAGCTGTTGCTGCACCATAACAATGAATTTAAGCAAAGAGACTTGTACTTCAATATATTGTGATTGTGACGGAAGTGAATCATGGGATATGTAGTTCCCGATGTTTATTTTGCTATTGCTACTATAAAACAATGCATTCAAACAAAGGAACTTGTAATTCGATATATTGTGAGACTTTTAACGATACGATATCACAATATTTCGGTTACTGTTACATCCCTAGTAGACAATGATGTAACAATAACTGAAATATTGTGATATCGATTCGTCAAAGTTCTCACAATAATATTGTGGACCATCACAATATATTGAATTACAAGTCTCTTTGCTTAAATGAAGAGTTATGGTGCAGAAATAACTAAAAAACAGAGGGAACTACATAGACCATGATCCTTTGCTCCGTTTCAGTGCAAACTACAAGAAGAAATCACAATTCTAAGCACTTTTAAGTCATGTCAAGGCATTTTAAGAGGAAAAAGAAGCATATTAACCTCCACAAAATATCGCAATAAGTATATAAATAAATAAATATAAATAAATACTAGGTGGCTTAAACTGGTCTTATTTATGTGTTTATTTGTTTATTTAAAAGTGAAAGAGCAGCGGGTCGATGTGCAGACCTGTTTCCTCACCCAAAACAGACACAGACATACAGATACTGCAACACAAAGCAGAGTACACTACATATTTACAACCACACGCGGTCAAATTGCTTTAGTGCTGCAATTTAACTGCAGTTTCGGTTCCACAATCTCACATTGTAATTTCCCTGCAGCGGACTTTGTGAAAATAACATTACATTCTCTCATATCAGTCTAATACCGCTGATATTTTCTGTTCATATTTCTACTTTGCAGTTTCAGTTCAATAAGTAGGTCTGTTAAAGTAATTACCATAATGATTTATAAGTACTCGCTTAAATGAATAGTTATTCTAATGTCGTCTTTCTTATTCTGTAAACCACTTTGAATTATTTGTGTATGAATTGTGCTTTACAAGTAAACTTGCCTTGCCTTGCCCTGGTGCAGCAGTAGCTAAAAAACACAGGAAACTACGTAGACCATGATCCTTTGGTGTTGTCAGTGAAAATGACAACAGCAAGCATTTTTAAATCTTAATTCTTCATATTTTGACAGAACCAAAAGCTTTTCAAAGCTTTTAAAAGGAAAAAGCAGCATATTCACAATATGACAAGCACAAAATCAGAAAATCTCAATAAATATTGAACAGAAATATCGTATCATATCTATGTTATTACAGGTGTTGGTGCTGTTAATAGGGATGTAACAATATCGTGATCTCGTATCAAAGTTCTCACAATAATATCATGGACCATCACAATATATCGAATTACAAGTCTCTTTGCTTAAATGAAGAGTTATGGTGCAGCAATAGATAAAAAACACAGGGAACTACATAGACCATGATCCTTTGGTGTTGCCAGTGAAAACGACATGAAGAAATAACTGAAATTAAGCATTTTTAAATCTTAATTCTTCATATTTTGACAGAACCAAAAGCTTTTTAAGGTTTTTAAAAGGAAAAAGTAGCATATTCAGAAATTGATAACCACAAAATCAGAAAATCTCAATAAATATCGAACCGTAAGAAGCATATTGTGAAAATATCGTATCATATCTATGTTATTACAGGTGTAGAGGATTGAAATATGAATAATTATCGACACTGGCTAATTACTCAAATGTTTTATTGTGCTGTTAAAATGGATGTAACAATAACCGAAATAATATCATGGACCATCGCAATATATCGGATTACAAGTGTCTTTGCTTAAATGAAGAGTTATGGTGCAGCAATAGCTAAAAAAGGAGGGAACTACATAGACCATGATCCTTTGCTCCATTTCAGTGTAAACTACAAGAAGAAATAACAGTTCTAAGCACTTTCAAGTCTTATCGTACTGTGAGATGTATATCGTGAAAATATCATACCGAGAGATTTGGATATTGTTGCACTACATCCCTAATCGTGAGCCTCCATATCATATCATAAACTTCCCCACGATATCGCTAAAAATATCGTACCGTGAGGTTCATACCATGACGATATCGTATCGTGAGACTTGGATATCGTTACACCTCTAGCTGTTAATTACGTGAGTGGCTGAAATTTCTCTCTTTAACACCTTATATCAAACATAACAAATCAAAAATATGGAGCTTCATTTATTCGAGAGGTTCTCAAACACTTCTCACCAAGTACCATCAAACAGTTGGCTTTCCAAGTTCCACCAAATCTATAACCAGACTATTTCAGGGCTAATTGAGGACCAAACCAGGTCTAAAAGTGGACTACAACATTTCCACTGCGGTTCTAAACATGAAATGATCCAAAAATACGACCAAAAAGTGGACAAAATAAACTCCAAATGAGGCAAACCCACACAATGAAGCTGAGCTGAGCTGAGTCCCACCTGAACGAGCTTCTGTACCACAGTTTGAGAAACACGTCTGTTACAAAACTCCAAACACACTCCAAATACGCAGAGATGGCGACAGAAGATACTGACAACTGCTTTGGGGGTTTAAACGTGACTTAATCCTGATTTAGTGATGCAAGACCTAGAAAAATCTCGAATTCCATTATTGGCCAGTGTAATACAAGAGTCTAATGCAGCCTAATTACGATGTTATACGCGTAAATAGAGAAATCCAGTAAAGTGGTGCAGTATACGTGGTTTTAAAAATGCACGGGGCCTGCCTATATGTGAATACAGTAGTACGTGCATGCGTGCGTGCGTGTGTGATCCAGTGGAGCGAGAGGGACCACTGCTGTGACATTGCAATATTCACATGTGGCACATAGAGACAGACAAAAGAGCGCTCTGATTACCTCGCTTCTATTTTCATTTCTGTCTGCCTCTCCACGTTGCGCAGGGGGGCTAGACTTTTCCACGTGATTAAATGGGAGTTCAGACCGTCAAGATTACTGTTTATTGTGTTGTGTGTTCATCTTACCATCAATAGAAGAGACTGCAGGAGCGACTACTTCAAAACTGTGTAACAAACCAAACACGAGCAATCCGGCTGCCAGCATGTTGCAACGCTATGGTGTTTACGTGGATGTGGGGGAATTAGTCATCAATTGCGTCTTGATTTAGGTTACTCTGTCCAAGCTGTGGATTTCGACGAAAAACAGACGTGAAGATGCGTGAAAACCGCTGTCCAATGCCCACTCAGTGCGCTGTCTCTCGCGCACGATAGTCCTGCTCCGGTGTCAAGGCGAGAAAAGAGGCGCAAAGGAATCCGGGAGCAGTATCCACAACCATGCACGCTTTTGGGTGAGGGCTGCCCGCTTGGATGCCCGCACAGCCCCGTCACAAAGGCTAGCAGGCAGGCAGAGCATCAAGCTAGCCAACGGGCAGGCACGGAGAGACGTGACGCCGCTGCTGCTGCTGGCGCTGGTGCCGCTGGTGCCGCTGGTGCCACGGGAGCATGCACTTCTCGGCGCGGGGTGTCGTGGTCCTCTGACGCCGGTGGTGGGAGCCTCGGAGGCGGTTGTGGCGTGTCCGTGCGTGCCGCTGGGTGGACACTGGGAGAGTGGAGCCGGGGGAAGGCGCTCGCACGGTCCCACTCTGAGCTCCGTGACGTGGGCATACAGCGGCGCACGGACTCGCCCCCTTTCACCCCCCCTCACCCCCGCCCCGCGCGCACCACAAAGCACCCTCCAGATCTGTCCTACATCCTGACAGACTCCTTAACCTCGGCTATTCTGTCCGACCACGTGCATGACCCCAAATCTGCGTTTTACAGCTAATTACGCGCCAGATTATGTTCCTACGCACTTAATCACGGTGACCCTCCATTTTACGAAATCCTTACATTATTTTGTCTCTTATAGCTGTAACTTCTGGTGGATCTGTGCTATTGGATTCACGCTGGACAATGTGGATGAAAGTGTTTTGCCCAAGGACACAAGAGCAGTCTCCATTCTTGACAGGTTCTGTCAGTTTCTCAAAACCTGATCTGGTCAGAAGCTGCACTAGACTGGGCCCGGTCAGTATTAGTTAGTTGGGTTGTGTCCTTAGGCAAGACACTTCACCCGTATTGTCTAGAATGAAGGTGTGTGAGTGTTGTGGTGGTGGGAGGGGCCAATGGTGCAGATTGGCAGACTCACTTCCATCAGTCTGTCCCAGGGCAGCTGTGGCTACAACAGTAGTTCTTATTCTTATTTAATCATAATAATGCATCAGTTTTATACAGCACTTTTCTGAACACTCAAAGACTCGGTGGTGGTAAGATACTATTGTAGCCACAGCTGCCCTGGGCCAGACTGACGTAAGTGCGACTGCCAATCTGCACCATCCAACCATCACTCCCGCACACACCACTTTCATATGAGGCAATGTGGGTGAAGTGCCTTGCCTAAGGACACAATGGTAAGTTTTTGCAACTATTTATTCTTATTTATTTGTAAAGAGGCAGCACATATTAAAAAATATTTAAAATGTAAATATGTAAAGATCATAGCCAACATATCTCATTTCCATCTTCAGTCCCGCGTCAGGTTGATGTTAAGTCATCTACAGGACAGAGAAACATAGAGCAACAATCACACAAAAGTCCGTAACACCAGCACACTCACTGTACACACAACACACTCATTATACATACATCGCACTCACTCATTTCAGATAGTTCAATTAAAATCCAAAGTCACGTGTTAGACCAGCAACCCCTCAATATAAAAATGTCATTTTGTTAAACATGGAGACATATTTGATCATTGAACAACATGTTTTAAAACTTTAGAAAATGCTGCAGTGTTAAAAGTTCTCGTACATGAGCTGCTCTGTATTCCATGTTTAACCTGCTCAATACACAAAAGAGTGCGTCCAAAAACACTTTTCCTAAACACCACAGAGCAGTCACCTCTTGTTGTCCGATTTGAGTTTAGAGAACGTCTTTAGATTCCTTTAGAGACGGTGGAGCAAGATTATTAAAAACTTTGTCTGCATATTTGATCGGGGTGTTGTTTACCACCAAGGGATATGGAGTGAATAATGCAGTCTCCATTAAAGCACGATAGAAATCCAGTACATTATTATTACTAGAGTCACAGATTTCTCAGCATTCTTCTGTTCTTTTCCTCTTGTGTATTTTCCTGTAAACTCATATATGTCATAAATGTTCAGAAAATCACACTGTATTTACTGTAACTCTCATCACCCAAAGCTCTTATAGCTGCACGTTCAAACACCATTTCCACTACATCCTTAATGGCTGCTGTTCTAATCAGCCCGTATAGACTGAATCCTCCTCAGATCAATATCTCAGCTTCTGCCTCCTGAATTCCCCTCATCAGACAAAAAGTCTTATATTCATGACATCGCCGCGCTATTCCACAAATACACTCAAATGACTTAACAGAGATTTTCTTTCTCTTGTTTTCTCTTGTGACATAACATGGTCATTTAATATGGTACACAGTAGATCAGTTGATAGAGTGTTTGGCCACTGTTCCAAGTTGGCAGTTCGAGTCCTTCACTCGACATAAACATCATTGGTTGAGAGTCCAGGGAGGTTCATTTAGTCATCCACTAATTCGCGTTATTAGGTTCTTTTTTCAGAGCTCAGTGCCCCTGGAGCAGTTCAGAATAGACTCGCTGCTCATCCACGTCGAGAGGAGCAGCTGAGGTGGCTCGAGCATCTGTTCCGGATGTCTCCTGGGCTCCTTGGGAGGTGCTCCGGGCATGTCCCACTGGAAGGGGGCCCCGAGGAAGACCAAGGACACATTGGAGGGACTAGTCTCTTGACTGGCCTGGAAACGCTTTGGGGTCCCCCCAAGAGGAGCTGGAGGAAGTGTCCAAGGTGAAGGAAGTCTGGGAGTTTCTGCTTAGACTGCTTCCCCCACGACCCGGATAAGCAGAAGAAAATGGATGGGTTCTTTTTTCAGACCAAGTTTTCATACCTGACAGTCTGAACTGCTCCCTGCGGTCTTCCTCAGAGTCACATGATGTAGTTGTGACGTGTCACTCAGCTGATTTATACAGGATTTGGTGCTGTTTTCCTACCGGCGGAGGCAGGACGACGGCCCCATTTGCAGTCCAACTGCCTCAGGACAGTATTCCAGGTGTGTGAGAGTAAAAAAGGAGAGAACCAAATTATGGACTGAGACGGAGCAAACATTGTTCGGACAGAGGACAACTAACATTGTCGCTGGATTGAAAAGGGATTTGAAATACAGAAACGTACCCACGGGTCTATAAACCTGTATGTCCTGAGGAAGTGGGACTGCAGATGGCGCTGTCTGAAACTCTTGGTCTAAAAAAATAACTTAATAACATAAAACATTGGTTGAGAGTTCAGATTCACTGACCCACAGATGAATGCTGTTGTTGTGTCCTTGGGCAAGACACTTAACCCACCTCGTATGAACGTCTGCGTGAATGGCTCTTTGATGTAACATGACCATTTGGGATTTGCCTTTTAACTCTCAAAATAGCGACGTTTGGTCCAAGCTCCTGTCAGGTTGTCCCAGCAGCACTGAATGGGTTAAATGCTGCAGACAAATTCTCCTATAAGAGATTCAAAAAAGTCTACCATAACCATACTATACCTACCATAACCTTTTCGTAACCTTAATCTGGTGTGAGACTGTTTCCCTTATAGCCCCTACCCCATTTCTAGCAGAGTTGAAGGAAAACAGGCCCACTGATGGTCTTACAACATCCAAAACAACATCATCATTCACTCAGAGTACACAGTAATTTCGCACTATAAATGACTTGCCCAAGGACACAATAACAGTACGCGCAAGTCAAAACCTGGTATTGAACCACCAACTTCTGTGCCGCTCAAATATCCCTTTATGTGGGTAAAACATTGTGTCTGGAAATCCACTAAACTCCATTCGTTTCTAAAGGGGAGTTAAGACTTTATTCGCAGAGTCGGAGGAGCGTTTGGCGGCGTATCTTTTGAGGCACATTATCATCGTTTGGAGAAGAATTATTCATGTCTCCTTAAAAGAAACCAAGACTTCAAGAATCCACAGCCCATTATAATTCAATGGGGCTGCCTTTGCGCACGAAACACAGGCCACAGACAAACAGCCTGGCGTTTTAGAAGCCATTCAAATTGCAAAAATGTATTAAGTCTCAAACCAACTTTATTAACTTTTCATCTGTATCATATATTCATTAGTATTGCCCCTCTGTACCATATATCCACTGTCCATCCTCTCTATCATCCCTCCTCTAGATTCACTAGTATCCCTTCTCTGTATCATGTATTCACTATTATTGATCCTCTGTATCATATATTCACTAGTATTCTTCCGTTGTATCATATATTCACTATAGTATTCCTTCTCTGTACCAAGTATTCACTAGCACTCTTCCTCTGTACAATATATTCACTAGTATCTCTCCTCTGTACCATCCATATATACATCATCCCTCCTAACATTTATTCACTAGTATTCCTTAGTATTCCTTCTCTGTGCCATATATTCACTAGTATCACCCTTCTGTACCATATATCCACTGTTCCTCCTCTCTGCCATCCCTCCTTTGCACCGTAGATTCACTAGTGTCCTTCCTCTCCTCTGCACATTTATTCTCTAGTATTTCTCCTCCGTACCATCCATATTTTCACCATCCCTCCTCTGTACCATATATTCACTAGTATTTCTCCTCTGTACTCTCCTCTATACATATTCCTCCTCTATACATTTATCACTAGTATTTCTCCTCTGTGCAATTTTTCACTGCTATCCCTGCTCTGTACCATATATTCCCCAATAGTCTTCCTCTGTACCATATATTCACTAATATTTCTCCTCTGTACCATCCATGTATTCACCATCCCTCATTTCCCTCCTCTGTACCATATTTTTACTAGTATTCTTCTCCTCTGTACCATGTATTCAATAGTATCCCTCCTCTTTTCCATTTATTCACTAGTATTCTTCCTCTGTACAATATATTCACTATAGTATTCCTCTCCTGTACCAAGTACTAGTATTCCTCCTCTGTATGATGTATTCACAAGTATCCCTACTCTGTACCATATTCTCACTAGTATTCTTCTTCTGTACCATTCATATATTCACCATTCCTCCTCTGTACCATGTATTTATTAGTATTTCTCCTCTGTACCATCCATATATTCAAGAGTATCCCTCCTCTGTATTCACGAGTGTCCCTCCTCTGTACCATATATTCACGAGTATTCTTCCTCTGTACCGCGTATTCACTGTAGTATTCCTTCTCTGTACCAAGTATTCACTATTATTTCTCCCCTGTACCATCCATATATTCACAAGTATTCTTCCTCTGTATCAAATATTCACTAGTATTCCCCTCATCTGTACCACATATTCACAAGTATTCCTCCTCTGTACCAAATATTTACTCTCCTTCTTTTTATTCACACCATTTAAATCTGGAACGTTTCGCCCCCAAACGCCCCAAACGTTTGTGTATTTTTATCATAAACCTTGATCTAGTATTTCTCAATCCGTAAACAGAATATTTGAAGTGGCGTGTTGTTAAACCCCAGATGTTGAAATGCAGAGTTTAT